ATAATAATAAAAATGCAGAATAAGGCTGGCACATGAGATCATACCAAATAAAGGTGCCAACTAAAAGTTAATTTTTCTTGGGTGATTCTTTTTAAGTAATTTCAATGGATCACTCCACAGATCTGGGTACAGCTCTTGGTACATCAAAGAGCCTTCAGTGCAAACAGAGGTCATGAGGATAGGGAGAAATGTTGCCAAGTGAGTGAAGCCAAATCAACTTCCTTTCAGCCTGGGTTCTTCATGTATAAAAAGCCTAAATTGGTCAGTAGCAGTGGTTTAATTCTTTTAGAAGTCTGACCTGATTTTCTGTGCAATTTTATTCTTCTGGCTGTTTAGTAAGAGAATTATCTGTTAAATTTTGAAATTTTGCCATGTCCTTCATTTTTTAACTGATCTGCTCTATTCAACCACTTCTGCAAGCAGCAGCTTCTAATCTCCAATAAATAACTCAGGCTCTTGATGCAAATTTGGGTAATAAAATATATGGTAGGTTATCGCAATAGCCATTATTAAGAAATGCTTTATTAAAATTAAGATGTTGACTTCTCAATCCCTATCAGAAGAAACTACAGTCCTGCCCTAGGTTGGGCACATAAAATCATATTTTATGATTTTAAAATCATATTGGGCTTGCCAAACTTGCTTCAGTAGCTAGAATTTCACACCATAAAGAGCATAATGCGGTATAGGGATTGCACTGACTTTTTAAGGACTGGGACATATCCAAACACTAGTCACAGTAATTCATAGGATAAATATGTGTATTATTTCTTCTAACTATGAGTACAATAAACTGAAATATTAATGAACAAATAAACCTTAATTTAAACAAAATATTAATGCTTTGCATGGAGAAATTGGCATATTTACAGACTGGAGTAAGTTTTCTGAACCATTATTCACTGACTACATAACATACAGTGGGTTGAAACTAGAGTTAGTCATGTGCCATGGGTTTTGAAAAAGCACTTACCCACCCCCTTCTCCCCAGGGCTGCCCCTTTTCCATATGGCAATCCCTCCAGGCACTTAAAAATGCAACACAGTGGGTTGGGGTACCCAGCTGAATGGAGTAGTGTGCAGTTGTGGAAGAATAGGCTTCTCTGAAAATCAGGCAGAAGTACCTTGTATGAGTGGTTTCCTGAGCCTCTCTTTAGCGTTTTCTAGGAGCTGGAGGGCTGCCATAGGGAGGAAAGATTATAGTTGCCTATGCCTAAACCTGGACTGAACATACTAATATGTGTTTCATTTCCAACTGTGTTGAACATAATTGCACTTCTTAAACTTTAAGGCTTAAATAAAGGTAAAGGTTTCCCCTTTACATTAAGTCAAGTCATGCCTGACTCTAAGGGGCGGTGCTTATCTCTGTTTCCTAGCCGAGGGAGCCAGCATTTGTCCACAGACAGCCTGTGTGGTCATGTGGCCGGCATGACTAAACACCGAAGTGCACGGAACGCTGTACCTGCCCACCGAAGTGGTACCTTTTTATCTACTTGCATTTTCATGCTTTCGAACTGCAAGGTTGGCAGGAGCTGGGACAGAGCAACGGGAACTCACTCCGTTATGCGGATTCAAACCGGCGACCTTTCGATCAACCAGCACAGCAGCACAGCAGTTTAAACCACTGCGCCACCTGCAGTCTCAAGGCTTAAACAGATCTCCTTTAAAAGATGCACATGGGAATACCAGATATATGTACAGCACCAAAATATCTCTATAATTTATAATTCTTTGGTCTTGCTTCCATTCCTGTCCTTGTATTTTCCAGCCAATACTGTCAAATACCTTAAGAATCCTGTGATATTATAGAGGAACATAACTAGTTTCAAAATTGCAATAACAGCTCACTTGAGGTTTTTATTACATTTGCGTCTATATAAAATTGAAAGAACTACATAAATGAGAAAGCACCTGAAGGGCAAAATCAAACTGCTGCTTTTATTAGATGCAAGTCTAATGTCTTTCAGATAAAATATTTGTAGGTGCCATAGTCAATCAAGTTTTCAATGGATTCCAAAGATGAAAGCATTCATGCATAAAAGGCAATGTGATAATTATGATGGGCAGACAAGATAATGGAAAAAATCCTAGCCTTCCTTTAATTTTATGTATCAAGTTCTGACTTGACCTAGATAACCTGCAATGCTTCACCACATTTACTGCATTATTTTAGCATTTTAATTATTTAGGAAAATTCAATTAATTCACTAGGCATCTGGTAAGCAGTACCAACCTTCCTGCATCTCACAGCTTTTTTTAGATGCTGCAATTCTGCACAACACTTTTAATATAAATATGTAATTAAGCCTGAAATCTATTCACTCTGCAAGTTTATTAACCTTTGCTGATTATGCAAATTGTAGCTGTGAGGCTGTCGTGACATTTTCATCATTTTAAAACAGCTTGTTTTAAAATTTCCATTGTAATCTTTATGGACATGAAGTACCGTATGAAAATCACAGATCCCTTTCCCTAAATTTTGTTAGTATCCAAGCAGGAAATTATTTTTAAAAATTAAATGCAAGATGAATGGTAAAATACAGTTGGAAGAACATCAAGGTTTTTATTGATATGTTTATGAGCTATTAAAACCACCTTTTATGTTCTATCATTATTCAGACCTAAGAACACAACATATATTAAAAGTAAGGCAAAGACAATTACATATTATACCAGCATTATTAAGGTGATTTCTGGGGGTGGGGGGTTTAACACACATAATTGACAGGGACTTTTGAGACAGGCACACAAAGCCTGGGTGGGGAGCACAGCAGTTCATGTGCCCCACTTAACATACCACTTTAAATCTTAAGGGTAGTTTGAAAATGGCTCAATGTTTTGCTGCTCTCCCTGAGAAAAAAATCCACATTTGTAAAGCTCTCTGCACCAAAGCCACAATAATCCCATTTTCATAAGGTAAGTGCAAAGTACCCCTGCAGTTCATAAAAATTAAAATGTTGTTTTATTGTTCATCACTTCAGGACTGTGCTGTAATTATATTGCCATATTTTTGATTTAATTCTTAAGAAAATGAATTAGGTTCAAATATTTATTCCATATGTTTCTAATCTACCAATTGCTTCCCATTTTAGCATCTCTGATTTTCCTGCCTCATACTTCAAGTCATTTGTGTGTGTGCGTGTGTGTGGTGCAAGTGTACATGCATGAATGCACGTGGGTGGATGCAAGGGTGTGCAAAGAGGGGGAAGAGAGAATCTTTTTTATTCTTTTCTATTCTTCTGTCTATGAATGATGCTAAAATGTAGGCTTAATTAATCCATGTGTATGTGAGGTAAACAAGGTACTGGAATATTGCTGGTATAAAAGCAATGGGGAGAAGTAGCTCCTAGGGAAAATAGGGAGAAGGGTTAGGAACTTCCTTATCCCTCCCCTCCAGCACTAACTGCTCCCTTAACCCTGCATCCTGGTGAATAGAGCCCTAAACAGCTTAGGGCCTGGTTAAGTATCATCAATATGGTTTCGCTGGAGCTTATTTTGCAAAAGCAAATACATTGTCAGCAGACAGTTGCTGTTTCTTCTGGTTCTTCTTGTAAACAAACAAAACATTAACTGAGTGGAAAAAGTTAATGATTTGGAGTCTTTGTCCTGAGGGTTTAAAGTACATTTGCAGGCATGCTTCTAAAACAGGACGTGACAGCCTGTCCAACAACTTCTTAATGTCATCTATCCTAATAAACGTGACAGCTTGTGGTCCTGACATGGAATGGATGCCCTTCTCCAGGTGCCCTCCCTGAAGGAGATTAAGAGGGTGACTACCCAGAGAAGGGCCTTCTCTGTGTTGGTGCATCAATTGTAGAATTCATTCCTCAGAGAGGTTCGCCTGGCGCCATCACTTTATTTTTTTTGGCGCCAGGCTAAAACCTTTTTATTTTCCCAATGTTTTAAGATCTGATTATTTTAATTGGGGTTTTATTGTCAGCTGATGTTTTATTTTACATTGCTATATTGTTAAACCATCCCGAGACTTCAGTAACAGATGGTCTAGAAAAGTTTTAAAGAAATAAATCACCAGATAACTATTACTTCCCAGTTCACATTCTGTACAGCAATTTACAGATAAGTAGTCCTACAAAATGACTAGTCTAAAACATCTCCAAGTTTCAACCTCCTTCCTTTTATGCCCCCTCCCCATAAACTAAAACATGCTTGGGGCATAAAAATACCCCACAATCTCCAAAAGAATGGTTCTATAGGGTACTTTTATACCTCAAATAACAAACCCCTCCCCAAACAAAGGAGCAAAAGGAGCTTCACTAGAGCACATCTTGGTCTCTTTTTAAAGCTAAGATTCCTAGCTAAAATGTCTAGCAAATAGTTTTTTTGCTGAGTAACTGCTTTTAGAGTTTACTGTAATAGAGGCGGTATGATTGGAGTTCTCTTATGCAATTATATTCTCTTATCCTGGAATATAATGGGTGGTATACAGGTAACCCATCCCATTGACAGAGTATTTTATACCAGTGAAATTCCTGTACCACATTATTTGCTTCAAAGTATTGCAGAACTGTCCATTGCAGATTTGGAGAAATTCTGGGGAAGGAGGAGAAGGAAAAGGAAAAGTTCCACTGCAGATATGTTGTGCAATCCAATTTGTGCAACAGTGGATTTCCCTTGTAGTTGCCTCCTAAAACTACAATACAGGAAAGCTTTCCACCAGTTTCTTCTACTCACAAATGTATTATGGGTACAACAAAATCTAGGAGCAGTTTATATCCAATTTTCAGACAGGCAATTTCTAAAAGTTCCAAATATTTTATTAAATGTGAAATTAAGCAGAAGTGAGAATACGCTGCGACAACTAAGGATATAAGCAACATACAACAACCCCAAAATCGCAATATATTTTCAGCTACAACATATTATACAAAGAGTTCAAACAGCATCTACATCTATTAGATTCTGATCTCCACTCCTAAAAGTAAGGCACCTTTGAACTGAATGCCTTTGATATATGAAAGTGTTTTTTGAAATGAGCATTACCTTGAGCTAGTCGTTCAAGTCGCTTTCCATGTTCTGGAGGAATAGCATACCTAAAATTTATATAAAAAGAAAATATACAAAAGTTTATAGCCATTCTTAACCTATGGAAAAAATGTACCTAGGTAAGATGCTAACAAAGTATAAAAGCATATATACTTTATATATGCGTGTGTGTGTGTGTGTGTCACTTTTATTTCCAAAATAAAACTTAAAGCAGCAAAAAGCTGGTTTTTTAATTAATTAAAAAGCATGGGTAAAGCACCTTTGATAATGTGTGATACGACTCAACATGAACCTTGTTTCTGATATAATAAATTCATACATCCACATCCCAATATTATACCAAAGCTTTCACAGGTATTAATTTAGAACTCCTAAGCTAAAGAAATCCCAAAGTATGGTCCAAGTGCAATACTTAAACATTTCTTCCTTTCTAAATACTGATTTTTCCACATGTGAAACATTGCATACTCTTTTGAAAAAAATCAACATAATATTCTAGAAATTCTGTTCCACAACCAACACTTAACAATACAGCATTGATTGGATGATGCTGCCAAAGAAATGATAAAAATGATAAAACCAACTGAAGCTATGGAATAGAAGACAGAGGGGTAACCAGAAAAGAGAACCAACATGAACACAGGCATGTAAGTCATCAGGCCCCAGTCTTTCCCACTATGGTGGGATGTATTGTATTTCTGCTTCAATTATAATGATCATGTCTAGATTTTGCAAACCACTGCTCTTGCCTGTGGTGATATGTCCTCCTTTTTGGGTACTCATAAGGGTCCAGTCTAGCTTCTCAACCCTTAGGTTCCATGCGTGCAGAGGTAAACATGCATCTAAAGCCATCAGGTAAAGAAAGGCAATAGACAAGAATCACTGAAAAAGAGAGATGATGGGCAAAGGAAGAGACTGAATACTTCATTAAGAGGGCTCTACACTTAAAGGTTAGGGATGCAGGTGGCACAGTGGTTTAAACTGCTGTGCTGCTGGGCTGGTTGATAGAAAGGCTGCCGGTTCGAATCTGCACAACGGGGCGAGTTCCTGTTGCTCTGTCCCAGCTCCTGCCAACCTTGCAGTTCCAAAGCATGCAAATGCAAGTAGATAAAAAGGCACCACTTCAGTGAGCAGGTAACAGCGTTCCGTGCACTTTGGTGTTTACTCATGCCGGCCACATGACCACAGAGACTGTCTGCAGACAAACGCTGGCTCCCTCGGCTAGGAAACGGAGATGAGCACCGCCCCCTAGAGTCAGGCATGACTGGACTTAATGTCGAGGGGAAACCTTTACCTTTACCTTTTACACTTAAAGGTATCTTATAAATAATTTTAGATAGACAAATTAATCCTCTATATATACACTTCTCTGCTTTTAGTCTCTCCCTCCCAAAGTAAATTCATTTTTGTAAAGAAGCCATCGATATTTCTTTACATGTCTTATGTAGTTTTTAAAATCCCCAGGTTTATCTTTATGTACTGATTCTAATGTATAATATCATTCTAACATTGGAAGCTGTCCAAAGTTTAAGAAAGAACATTCAAATAAGAGAATAAGAATCTTTACCCAGCAATTATTTTCATATGTACATATATGGCACTGGGAACATATGCATGCGTTAAGTCTTGGCTCCTTTTAATTTGGATTGAAATACAACACTAGCCTCTAAGGATACGTTTTCTTTTTCCCCGAATGACTTACTACGTAGAGACATTGACAGGCTAGATGACAAGTGTCAAGTTGTAGGCATTGCATAATGAGTACTGAAATATCACCAGTGAAAATGTCAGTCTTTTCTTGCTCAATATTATTTGAACTGCTCTTAGTTCTAAATGTTAAGTACCTGTTGAGTGTTAAACACATCAATAATAATGTTGACACTTAGGATATTTTGCTATTAAAATTTTTGTAGTAGATTAAGTTCAAACTGACACCACCTTATTTTTCATTCTAAATTTCTGCCATAACACTGATGCATAGTTTCTCCAGTTCATTCATTAATCAACCCAAAGTCTAAGAAAGGTGTTATGGGACTGAAAAAGTGTACATCCAAATTTTTAAAAGATACATGATCTTTGTTTTCTCTCAAACCCCACTATTAAATATGTCCAGTTAAATACAATAAATATATACTTATTATTTCAGTTCTAAACTTCCCACTAGCTGAAGTTCTCTGGGCATTTTACAACAGTTCATAAAAACTTAATAATAAAAAGCTATAAAATCTTTCCAAAACGCAAACATTTAAAAACAAAATTTAAAGCCAAAATTTAAAGCTGCTAAAACAACATTTGCTGGAGAATAGCCCTGTAAAACATTTGGGATGGTCAATCTCCTCACACCCTTGAATATCCTTATGTATTGTTGAAAGAGTCACCATAAAGTGCCATCTTAACCTGGTGTCAAAAACAATGACAAGTCTGGCGGTAAGCAAGCCTCAACAAAGAGGTCATTCCATAGATGGAGGACCACTGCTGAGAAGGCCCTCACCTTTGATGTTGCCCTCCAAGCTTCTCTTGGAGTCGGCATTCAGAGGAAGGCCCCAGATTTTGAGCATACTATCTGGGTACATTGTAGCTGGGAGAAGTGCTCTGTCAGGTATTGCAGTCTAAGCTGTGTAAGGCTTTATAAAACAAGCATCTTGAATTGAGCTTAGAAGCATATAGACAGTCATTGCAAGGGTGCCAGAACTGGTCTTAGATATTCAGACCTATGGGTTCCAGCTATTGATCTAGTTGCTGCTTCTGAATTGCCTTCAAGGGCGGCCCCATAGTGAGTGCATTGCAGTAGTCTAAATTTAGAAATTACCAAAGTATGGATTTCTGAAACCAGGCTGCTCCTGACCAAATAGGATCATAGCTAGGCCACCAACCAAAGCTAGTAGAACTAGCCACTCCATGCTACTCATGCCACCTGACCCACAAATGACAAAGACGGATCAAAGAGAACCCCCAAGCTATGACCCTGCTCCTTCAAAGGGCATGCAACCCCATACAGAACAGACTGAACATCTTCAGAACAGTCTGAACAATTAGGATGCATTTATTAATGGGAGCTGATTCTGAAGTCTATAAGGAAGGCAACTGAACCAAAAACACTGGAAAGAGATGCATGCTATGTAAATGTTTGTAGCAACAGTCAAAAGGTCATTAAATTCCAAATATTGATTATCTCATTTCTAGGGCTATCTATTGGCTTAGTTAAAACCCAGCAGAACTACATGAGACTAGTCAAGAGGTAGTAGATTATGAACCAGTAGCACTCAAGTGATACAGAGCTAAAAAGTTACATTTTGTACACACAACTCAAAGCCATAATGCTTACTGAGGAGATAAACTTATGTTTAGACTTCAGATTGCAAGTAAGGAAGCACAACACTGAATGTTCCTTTATACAAAACCCCAACTACTTAGAGAACTAGATATCAAGAATAGGATTTTAACTTGTCATTTTTCCAGAAATGCCAGTATCCTATATATAAATAATGTTTTTGCATAGGAAATATTCCATCATATGAGCCTCCCTTGCACTCTACTAGAGTACAATGCAGATACAATCCTATCTGTTCCTATACCCAAGGTAAGGAACTCTCCTACTGTCAGTTGCCATGACAGGCTACCATAACCTCTCCTTGACTGAAAATTACACTCCAGATTATGACGGAAATAAAATTTCCTCTGGCAACCTGCTGAATTTCTAGGCTGAGAAGACAGACAGAATAAAGTACTCTGACCTTTCTCCACTAGCCTGTTCACTTGCCTGCAGCTAATCAAAGATAGCTTTTCCCTATCCGGTGTGAAGAAAGGGATCAGCTGGAAAGGTGGGCTATTTGTATGTGTGTATACGAATAGCATGTGTCTGTCTGTGTGAATTCTATGTGTAAGATGGCCACGACCATCTTGGGCTCTGACTACGGCCACAGCTAGCATGCACTCTGGAAAGTTTTCTAGACAGTAATTCATCCCTTACTATAGAAAAGGGTGATCATCCCTGGAAAAACACTGTTCCATCTCCATCATCGTCCTGATCTGAATCCATACCCATCACACCACCACCACCATGATGATGATGATGATGATTTCTATACTGCCTGTAGCTGAAGCTCTCTGGATGGCGCACAAGATGCAAACACTAAACACTAAAATAGACAGAGATCCAATCATGAATCTCCATTATCTCATCAAACTTGCCCATGACTCCTGAAGGAATCTAAGTTCTTCAGGACACATTTTTTTCTGTACAAAGTTGAACACCATCTTATTCCCACAACAATGTTCAATGGAACATTTTTTAAAATTTTGACTACCAAACATTGTCTTGCTTTCTTGCATTGTTTTGCTTTCTGTCAAGTAAACAGTGAACCTCTACCTCTTCAATATTCTCTCCATTTATTGTTTACCACATAACCATTTTACTCTTTCTATTCAGCTCTCCCAGCCTATTTTTCCTGCCTCCCCAACAATAACATGGTAAAATTTCTACCAATTTAGGACTCATTCAAAGTTGCAATGTGCAAGTGCACTCTGTATACAGAAGTAATGGTTTTGCTCCAACTGAAGGTTTACAGAAAGCACATTTCTTATCCTCTCCCTTCTGCAGCCACCCACAACACCCAAGGGTTCTTCAAAGGTCCAGGGAGCTGCCTTGACCAATGTGTAATTTGCCATAGGACTACTGAGGCAGGACGCGCTCCAATGGAGCAAAGCTCAGGGAGCCAAGGTTCCATTTGGATGCCAGGAAGCACTTCCTGACAGTCAGGCCCCCAAGGGTGTGGAATGGGCTTCCACGAGAGGTCGTTGAGGACCCATCGGTGTGGGTGTTCAAGGATAGGCTGGACATGCACACGGTGGGCATGTCGTGAGTGGAGCCAGCTGGTGCCGGAGGTCAGACTAGATGGCCCGGGAGGCCCCTTCTGACTCGCTCTGTTTCTATGTTACTAGGAGGAGAAAAATCACCAAACTTCACTTCTAAGAAATTTCCTTATTTAACATAAGAATTCAGGCCAATAGCTCTGTTTGTGCTATCACTGTGATGGGAAATAAAACA